CTTGTCCACGTCAAACAACCAGAACACATTACACACTTTGATAATTGTTAGACGTGAACAGTGACGGATTCTCTGGAGGGCGTCCTCTAGCGAGACAGGCATGGTTCTCACTTCGTTCCTGTGTGAACGGGTGGATCTCACCGGTTTCCAGAACGAGACCACGTCAGAAAGACGCTCCTGTTTCTGTCCTTCGGTGGTCGTTCCCCTCTGTTCCTGCAGGAGCTCAGAAAACGCATTCACGTGAATGAATAAACAGAGACCAAGGAGCTACAGCAACCTACTTTCTTTGAACTCCTTTCGAGCTATATGCCAAAAATTGTGACCCATCTATCACCTGTCATTAAGGATCATTTTTAACAATCTCGATTTTCAGCTCAGTTAGATTCGCCTTCCGTTTTGTGAAAACCACAGCACCGCACGCCAACGGTGTTGCTGGGGGTAAGAGCCCATCCCAGGGGGTCTCATAGTTCACCCAGCCTTGCGGTCCCTGGTCCTTTGTCTGGAGCCCAAACAAAAGACAGAAGACACCAGGGACAGGTGAGGGGCTCCCAAGCCTCCCTTCCCCTCGTGACAGACACGTGAGGCGTGATGGAACAGGGTGTGGGAAAGGAGCTAATTACAGGCGCCGTTGCACGACGCCGAGGGCCTGGGGACGGGTTCTGTGAAGGCTGCATGTGTCTGTGTGTGTGTGGACAGTCCGGTGGACCCCCGGGGTGCCCACGCGGGCAGCCTTCCTGGAGGGCAGAGTGATGGCCAGGTTTGCAGCCAGTCCAGCCCCTTGGTGCGCGAGCTGGCGTTCGGCTGACAAAGTGGAGGGCGAGCCAGGCGCCCGGTGCGTCTGCCGTGCTTCCTGCTCCCTACCCGGGGACACTGGAGGAGGGCTGGTGGCTTCTCCGCCACCCGGGCCACCTGTGCCAACCACTGAAGCCGTCCCTAAATAGGAACGTAGTTAATCTGGGCTTGGGGGACACACACATCCATCCACCCGACCCACGACTCCTGCAGTCTTACTTGCAGAAATGTGGGAAGAGGAACAGGCTGCCCGTCTCCTGTTTGGGTCAGTTGCCTATGGGTTCCCATTAGAGTCTGGTCACCACTTCTCCAAAATACAGCCCAGCGGTGATTGCGAAACCGATACCCTGAACCCACTGGGCCACTTGGACGCATGTCTCAGAACAGCCCCCCACCCCCGACACCCCCCTCCCTGCGCTGGCACCACGGGGGCAGCAGCCTCGTGAGCAGGCGTTTGTCTCCACGGTCTTACTGTGTCCAGATCTGATAATAGCTAATTCCACCAAATATTAGAGGGGCTCACATTTAATTAAGGAGTGGCCGTTTGTATGCTCCAGGCTGGAGGTCCCCACTGCCCTGAAGTCAAAAGAAGAGTCCTTCAGGGAATATGCCAATCTTCTCTCACGTCTCAGCTGAGCCCCTGCTCTCTGTGAATGCAATTATGGGAACAAATAACACGGCTTAACCCAACTCCCCTGCGAGACAGCCGCTCTCTGCTGATAAAACCGGTTGTGTGGGCAATCATTAAATGAGAAACCTAATATTTAACTAAATTTGATAGTCGGTTGCTTTGGTGCTTTCCTGCATGGGGTGGGATTTCAGTGGGGAGGAGAGAGCTATTCAAATGCCGCCTGTGTAGTCAGCGAGTGATGAGGACGCTGCGTGCCCGCATGGAGCCAAGACCCCAGGTCCAGGGACCGGTAACGGGTGTGTGGTGGCGGTTCCGTGTCCCCACGCACTCTCAGCAATCGTCACTCTGCAGGCAGCAAAACAGCACTGCACCGAGTTTGAACTTGGTCCTCCAAGATCATCATTTGAGATTGCACAGTGATGCCAGAAATATCAAATTCAAGCGCAAAAACGTGGAGATACGAGCCGATTTTAACTGCGAGAGGCTCTGTCCCAGTTCTCTTTCATTTTGAAGTTTCTTAGTCCAGATCCGGCCTTGGCCCAGCAAACCCCCCAGCTGAAGCCCTCTCACGAGAGGCGGAAGCCAGCGCAGCAGTAGGCGCCTCACTGTCCTTGCCGTACAGGCCTCCACTCCCGCTAATCCCACCGGTCGTCCTGAGTTTCCACGTTCGCAAACCCCAGGTACCGCACCTGCTCCCCACCTGGCTGACCACGGGGCAGGCAGAGAGCGAGGGTCGCAGGTTCTCGAGGGTTTCCTTGTGAGATCCGTGCTCTGGTCTCCTACAGTAAACTCGGCTTTGGGTAGTGTCGACGAACTGCCTCCTAATCCCAGCGCGAATTGAGTTAACTTATGTAGATCATCAGTCTTTTAAGCACCAGAAGCTTCAGTCGACTTAATGAGAGTTTGATTTGGTTTTGTTTTGGTTTGTTTGATGTGGGGAGCAGCGGTTGATAGTCAGGCCTGAATTTCTTCAACTCTTCCCACTCAAGAGGTCTGAACCCCGGGGACCTTCAAGAGCCCCTGGGGCTTCCTGGGACACCTAGAAGAACCTCTCAGTCCTGTTGAGGTTCCTTGAGACCTTTTTGGGGCCGTGGCAAAAGAGCCATGCGGGAACAGGGCGAAAGACTTGGGTCTAACATAGACTCAGTTACTATCTAAAGATGCTTTATTTCCAGGTGTGAGTTGGATTCCACACAGATCTACCCAGGTTACTGGGAACTGGTGCATTTTGTCCCCAGGATGGGACTAAACACTAATGCCTTGCAGAGGGGGGAAATGCAGCCAGGAAATTGACCAAAACTCTTATATTTGGTGTTAAGTGTATCCAGAGAGCTAGACGGGTGCCTGAGATAGGATGGCCAGGGCTTCTCTTTGAGAGGTGACACTTGCCTTGATGGAGGAGAAGGGGCCAACAAGGCAGATTTCAATATGGGGAGGGGCAAGTGCAAAGGCCCTGGGGCAGCAAAGAACTTGGAAGATGCTGTTCTTTTCATTATCCTGCAGTGCTCCCTGCTGGTCTTCCCACCCTATACATGTGAACAGAACAGGAGTGATCAGTAGCTACTACCTCATAAACCAACTCCTCCCAACTGTGTCTGAAGTGTTGTGTTAAAGGGCTGAGGGCATTTGGACTCAGCAGAAATCTGCTGTCTCAGATCCCTTAGGAATGTGGGCCACAGAGCAAAGCAGACAGTGGAGTGTGCAGCCCCCCGGTGAAGAGCCCCTCCCAACTCACATGCGGGACTCCAAGGCAGAGGGTGCCATCGCTGAGCCACGCCTCTGGGTCTCCGGGTTGAGGTCAAGTCTAACTTCACTTCCCTTGGATCTGACCACCACGCGCACCCCCTGCAGACACAGCTGTCCTTTCCAGCTGTCTACAGGGAAACCATTCCTTGCATGCTGTGTGTGTCCAGAATCTTTTGCAGTGGTGGGGCAACTTCAGATGTTTAAAAATTCTACCCACTTGGCCGGGCGCGGTGGCTCACGCCTGTAATCCTAGCACTCTGGGAGGCTGAGATGGGCGGATTGTTTGAGCTCAGGAGTTCGAAACCAGCCTGAGCAAGAGCGAGACCCTGTCTCTACTAAAAATAGAAAGAAATTAATCGGACAACTAAAAATATATAGAAAAAAAAATTAGCCGGGCATGGTGGCGCATGCCTGTAGTCCCAGCTACTCGGGAGGCTGAGGCGGGAGGATCGCTTGAGCCCAGGAGTTTGAGGTTGCTGTGAGCTAGGCTGACGCCACGGCACTCTAGCCCGGGCAACAGAGTGAGACTCTATCTCAAAAAAAAAAAAATTCTGCCTACTTGAAAAAAAACAGTTTTGCCATTTCTCCCCTTCTGTCAAAGGTAAATATTCAAATATGTATCCAGCAACTTGTAAATCATTTTTCGTTTTGTTTATTTGCTCGTCACGAGCACCGAGAACTGCCACTGGGCCCTGTTCCTCTGCAGAAGCTCGCCAGCCCCGCCCAGCAGCAAGCGCTGGGCCTTGAGTCTTGCTGGAGCTGAACGTTGCCCACAGATAAAGCCACTCGTGCCGGGGTCTCCTTGTCACGAGCGGTGACGCGACCTCCAGCTACCCTGGAGAAGCACACGCCTGTGGCGTAGCTTCCTTTTAAAGGGGCATATGGGAGGATGGTTCGACATTGCTTGTAATGTTGTTTGTGGCCTTAAACTTTATTCTTTAAAACATTCACCCATTGTAGCTGTTTCAGAGTGAGTGGTGAGCCAAGGGTAGGGTTCCTTGAAGATGAAATGTCCTTTCTCGATGAACCACCAGTTGTCCCACATGTAGGCTTAGAGTGGGAGAGGAGAAAGGAGGTCAGATGGGTTTATTGCCTATCAGACAGTGAAACAAGGTAGATGGCTGTGAAGTGGGCTCAGGAGGGGGCTCCTCGCAGCTGGAGGAACAGGCAGTGAGGCCGTTTGTGCGTCGGCGCAACCTGAGCAACGGGGACCCCGTGCATCGCGGCCACAGGTGCAGAATCAACCCCGGTCCCTCCAGCTCAGGGGAGAACGGCCAGCCCCCCTGCATCGTAAAATGTGGCCCACGTGACTTTATTGTCAACAAATACAATTACGCAAATCAAGGCCTCCAAAGACCAGATAATCTTATGTTTAAGGTAAGAGATCTGAATCCATTTTTTCTGGGAAAATTTAATAAAGGTAACACTCCAGTTTCTACTCTCCTTTCCTTTCCTTCTCGTGTTATCATAGCCACAATATTTGGAAAAGCACTTGTCTAAAAGATACGTAGTGTTGATTTCCCTAAAACCGGCAGTCTTGAGACGAACCATCCCGAAACCCACGCCTGTGAGAGAGAAGCGCCAGGGAGCACCAGGCTCTGTGGGCAGAGGGCACCCAGCCTGGCGGAGAGAGTCTGCCCGGGCTCCCGACGGAGACCAGCTTTCCGCCATGCGACGGGAGCAGCCTCTTCAACGTCCCGGTGTCCTGGTCTGTGCCACAGAGACCGGAACAGTCACTCCCAGGGCTGCTGCGCAGTTAGCGGTCTGATGGGCGTGGAAACCCGCGGCAGTGGTCGCTGACTCCCGGCATGTCTTGCTTGCTGTCTTTCAGAGATTTTCGACCTGGAAACAAACGAGCGCGTGCAGAAGGCCGTAAGTGACCGACAGATGCCCAGAGTGGAATACAGGAAGATCGAGGTCGATGATTACAGTAAGTGCTACTCACTTCCCCCTTTGAAAAGAAAACCAAAGTCCCACTCCGAAGTGTCGGCGGCCAATGCCGCGCGGAGGCCCCAGCGCCGCGGCAGCCTCCTTGCCTGGCCGCTCGTCCCCCTCCGAGCTCCACATGCTCAGAACCGAGATAGTTTGGTGACAAACTGAAAAAGGCGGAGCATAGGATTTCTCTCCCAGAGAAGCTGGCACTCCACTGAGCTCTCAGATGGAAACTTCTCCTTCCTCGGTGAACCTCTTCCTTCTGGAAATCCCTTTTCTGCGCCATCCGACGTCGTACCGTGCCATCAGCTCCCCTCTCCATGTTGAGCACGGCTGGCGCGGGGCCATCCTCACCACCGGAGGTTACGTTTTGCGGGATCTGTTGTCGTGACGGCCTAAGGGACAGTCATCACTTGCCTTTCTTTGCCTGTGCCCGTCTGTCTCTTGAACTGTTGGTTCAGTCATTCCCTGGGTTTTCTGGGCACGGACTCTGCCAGGAAAAGCTAGACACAAAGTCCCAGCACGGTGACTGGGCTGGACGCGCATCTCCGGGGAGGCCGGTTCTCACAGCCTCACTCACCTCTGTGCAGACGGCTCCCAATCAGCTGGCCACCTGTGTGCTGACTGCCCAGCAGAGGTTACCCTTAGACACCCCAGATGGGAAGCGCCCACAGCAGATCTCACCGTCTTCCCCCCAGAACTCCGTCGCCCCCTAGACGTCCCTACATTTATGCACAGCACCTTCCATTCGTGACGTCAGGTGACCCAGACCTCACCCCTCCACGGTGCCTTTGAGTCGCTTGTTCGGACACCACTGCCCTCATCTCTGGGGGTGTAAGCAGGCGTCACCTCCCGTGTGGACTCCGACCGACTGACAGCAACTGCCGGCGCCCTTTGCTGAAGAGGAAGAGAAGGTTCCAGGGCTCGAGGAGAAAGAGTGTTAGGACTGAGACGTGATGCCCGAGCCGCAGGGGCGGGGAGGAGGCGCTGCTCCCGCTGGCGTCTGCAGTCCCTGCACCATCTCTGGAAGCTTCGCCTGCCCTGTTACCGGGTCTCGGGGCCTGGGTATTGGCCAGCTCCCCGGTGCTCGGCAGCTGAGAGAAGACACAGCCTGACACGCCGTGAGCTCCTACGAGCGGGAGCCGAGGCTCACCCACCGAACGAAGCAGGTGCCCAGGCAGCGCGAGTGCGGCTCCCTCCCACAGCGCAGGCGCTAACAGCAAATGCAGCTCCGGGAAGAGCGTGAGATGGGCCGAGGCCGTGCGGGAAGGTCGCACGGACCGTGGGACTCGAACAGAGTTCCTGGAGGCGGCTTTAGGTTGGCAGAGGAGAGGAGAGGGTGCGGTCAGAGGCAACATGAGGAGGGGAGTCTGGCCCGAATAAGCATAAATTTACCATGGGAGGATCAGGAGGCTGCCCTGGAGTCCCAGCCTGCAGGGGGCCGGGGGGAGCCCTGCAGAGGGACCCTCACCCCGCCGCCACCCTCACCATGCTGTCCCTGCAGCCACCGCGGGCTCCTCGCCAAATCGTCCTGGCCCCACCATTTGGCCATTGGAGGTCACTCTCTGCCAGGACTTTTCTAGACACTGCCAGGAACACCTGCAGTTTCCCTGCTGTCCTGTGGGGCTGTTCATTCACCTCTGAAGGCCGGGAAAGCCGCGATAGGATGTGTTTCAAGTCCCACCCCGCAAAGCCCAGAGCCTTTCTCTTTTAAACGCCCCAATCGTCTGCTCTGAGGACGAGACGAAGGAAATGAACGGGGAGGGGGCCAGAGGCGGAGAAGAAGCAAGCCCAGGAAAGCCGTGAACTACGGCCGTGACAATCTGCTTTGGCCACCAGCCCGTCGCACCGCGTCTCTGAACCTCCTCCAGGTGCCGTCACATGGCGGCTCCTCCTCGGAGGTCAGGCCTCACCCCACAAGACACCCGGATGCCCTTCTGAGCTCCCTGCGCCAGTGGCTCACTCCCACATCCCGCAGCACTGGCGTGCGAGTGGCATCCCCTCCTCGCTGCAGAAAAGACCTTCAGAAGCAAATAGGCAGCCTCCCCACCCCCGCCACCTCCGTCAGCACGGCTGTCCCGAGAGCAGACGGCGCGGCCGCGAGCACAGGCGGGTGCCGCAAGGACACCCCTCTGGGATCACAGAACATCTGAAGGACGTCAGCCCCACCGACCTGGTTTCGTTTTGGTTTTTCCTTTTCCCACTACCAGAGGCTAACATTATTTTTTAGAAAAGTAAGAAGTCTTCAAGAAGGGCTCCCTGAAATGCCTTCCGCCAGGCAGACCCCAGTTCCCGGATCCGCCCAGGGCTTGTCCGTGGCCAGAGCAGCCAGCCCATGTCTGTGGACGTGTGAGTGGCGAAGTCCACGGCCTGCCACTGCGTCCGGCCATCGATCCAGTCTGCAAGCCATTAACATTCTGCCCGAATCCTAATCAGACTGGGTCACGGCGGGCCATCCGCACCGCCCAGCCTGGGTGTCTGTAGGGTAATTGTGTTGAAAAGCCGCTAATGCCGATTTAATTGCTGGCCCTGGGTCATCTGGGTCGTAGGGAACGTCAATAACAAATTCTGGCGGCAGGAAGGTTGTGGGGGCAGAAGAAGCTGGTCGGGCTATTTCTGAGGCTTGGTTCTTACTCCCCCTCCTCCGTGACCTTGACAACCGGGAGCCACTGGGCTGCACCGGCCCCTCCCGCGTCCCCTGGCTGTGGCTCCAGCGGGGTCAGAGCTGCCCAGCACACACCTGCAAACGGGGAGGGCAGAGCCGCCTGGCTTTGCACAGAGGCCCCCATGGCCCCTGCCTCTCTGTCTCTTGCTCTCCCGGTGCCCGCTGCACCCCAGTCCCCACTGCACCCCAGTCCCCACTGCTCCCCAATACCATCCCCAGCTGTGTCCCGGACAGACTCTGGGAGGCACTTCATTGCACGTCGCAACAGCCAGCCTGACACTCCGGGGCTTCCTGTCGTCCTGCCTGGATTTCTGCTGCCAGCACGTGCTCTGGCTGGCTGGGAGTTCCCGTTTCCGTTTCTCAGTGCACTCCCACCTGCAGGATGGAACTTAGGCCTCAGACGCCTGCACTCGGGTGGCTTGCCCAAGGCCACATCGCAGGCCAGAGTCACTGAGCTGAAATCCAGGGGTGCCTGGGTCTGTGGGCTCCCCCAAGCCTCCCCAGCCCCCTTCAGTCCCCTGTGGGTATTCCCGATGCCGCGTGGGGACCACCCTTCCGCCCCGTCTTATCCGAGTTGCCCCCTGACCTGCTGCTGTGTTCGGCTTCTCCCTAGACCTGCCCGTGCAGATCCTGAAGCCAGCAACCTTCACCGACACCGCCCACTACCCCCTGCTCCTGGTGGTGTAAGTATCCGACCGTCACCTGCTTTCTGGGGGCTTGATTTGGGGCCCCATGACACCCTGACTATCGATCTCTTAAGAAAGGGCAGGTGGGAGAAATGATATTGTTGCAAACTAAAAGCTTAAGACAATTTAGCCTATCAGCAAATGTCAGGTTCTTTTTGTGACTCTCGGAGACCCCTGAGGTTAGAGGAAAGGGGGTGCGCTGCAGCCCCCTCCCGGTCTGATCAGGGCAGCCTGCTACGACGGCGAGCCCCCCGGATCATCCACTGTGACCGGCAGATGGGTTCAGACGCAGTCGCAAAGGCTGATGGAGGAGGTCAGATGGCATCTTGCATGCCAGGCCCACCCTGAGACAGGCAGGGGACGGGTCCCAAGACACAGAGACATGGGGTGGCTGCCCTGGGACCCCGCACGCCTCACGGTGTCTGGCCTGAACAGAAGCCTGACCGCGTTTCCAGCTACTGCCCTGAACGGTATTTCTTTGCCAATAAAGAATTATTTCTGCTGTTCCTTATGTTGATTAATAAGCCTTCTGATTCAGACCTGAGAACAGCTTTCCAAGTGCTCTGTAACACGCTGAGGGTGCTGAGTCTGATTAAGGAACTTTGCCTGCTGGGGCCTGGCTGTGCCCTCTCCAGGGCCCTCCAAAGACCACCCAATAGCCTGAGTGTGCAGGAGGGTCCACTTGTACTCACACGGCATACAGGTGGGGGCATCTTGGAGTGGGCACCACCCAGACGACTGAGCCAGTGTCCTTACTCACCTCCCGGGCTGTTCTCTCAACGCCACGAGGCAGGAGAACCTCACCCCCCAGGGCCAGTCTCCCCGGATGTTCCTGGAAGGGGCCAGGCTGCAGCAGAGGCTGCACTGGCGTGTGAGGGGCAGCAGGGCGGGGACCCCTGAGTGAGGCCAGTCACTCTTGGAGCTCTGATTGACACTCAGGGCCTTGCCCTGCTCCCTCCTGAGGGCCGGGTCCTTAAGTAGCAAAAGCCTTCCTTATAAAGAGGCCCCGGGCACAGACGCCAGTATCTGATTCCATTTGGCAATTAACGCAGTTACCTTGATATCCGAACGGGTGTACCACTTTATCAGCAACCACACACGCGCACACACACACGCATGTGCACACGCACACGTGCACACACTCCCACATCCCCTCCGCACGCACAAGCACCTACACACCTACACACACAGACACACACGTGCACACACATGCCCACACCCTCTCCACACGCACCCACATTTCCCGCCCTGCCTCCCTCCCCCTTGCTAACCCAGATCCTCACCACTTTCTCAAAGATGCTAATGATTTCAAAACCAGCTTTCCCCCAGTACGCTGGTTTCCTCGGCCATCTGAAAGGGAATCTCAAAAAGCTTCTCCATTTACAAAGAGATTCACTTTCCGTTCAGAGGTGAAAGGGGAAGGTCCCAGTCAAGGAGGCCTGGGCCACCCTGGGTCAGGCAGGGCCTGCAGGGACCACCCCGTGTGCCGCTTGCTGCTCTGCGTGTGCTTCAAATGTGACAGCAGCGGGATTCGGAGACCCCAGACTCCAGAGGAACTCTACCAGGCAGCGCCTGCTTCAAACAACAACAAAAAAATAATTCAAGACAACCCAACACACACTTGACACAGGGCAACATCACGACGTAACCAGGCTCCTTAAACATGTAGCCCCCAAATGCACCACTCGGGCAGTCTTCCTCCTCCTGCCCTGCACCCCGCACCTCTCGCCTGCACCCACACCTCCTGCCTGCACCCCACACCTCTCTGCCTGCACCCCACACCTCCCTGCCTATACCCCACACCTCCCACCTGCACCCCACACCTCCCACCTATACCCGACACCTCCTTGCCGGCACCCACACCTCCCTGCCTGCACCCCACACCTCCCACCTGCACCCCACACCTCCCACCTGCACCCACACCTCCCACCTGCACCCCACACCTCTCTGCCTGCACCCCACACCTCCCACCTGCACCCACACCTCCCACCTGCAC